GGGCTTAAACCACGACAAGGTGTCAGCATAAATATGTTTATTTAGATTACTTAAATAAATATGTGTTTAGGAGCCCAAGTCTAGGTGCTCAGATCTGAGGCCAAAGGTAATTACGTTTTACTGTGTTCTCCGAAAAAGCCTTTTACTGCATGTGTGAGGCTTGCACATCTACACTTCAATCCATATATTTGGAAAGACGCGGGATGATGTATTTGCATCACATGTGGGTGATGAAATACTTTCCAGCCTGTTAGTAACCAAGAGGATATTAAACAACATCTCTTAGCAGTGAGCGCTTTAAAATTAACAGGTCTGGTTAACATGCACCCAAGAGTCTTAAAAGAATTGGCTTTTGCTCACTGAAATTAATTTCCAGTAATTCTCTTTGCTGGAGAAATTGCAGGAGAACAGATGAATTGCTGATTTTGTGCTAGTTTTCTCAAAAAGCATGATTTGGGTGAATGAAATCCAGGTAGCCTGACACCAGCTGAAGGGAAAATAGGGGGCACTGAGAATTTAAAGGCTGTTGAAGTTATATGCATGGATGTAAAATATTTGAACACTTAATTTAACAGCACATAATATAATGTACTGATGATGAGGGCAGAGCAGTGGGACCCAGGTTGTGCCATAACCCCAGCTCCCAAGCACATGGGAGCTCGCTGGGGTAGGTGGACCAGGGGATGCTTGCAGGATGGGGGACTGATGCTTAGCAAACCAGGAGCTCTAGAAAAGGTCATGGCCAAATGTCACGTCTTGGTGCCTGCTGCGGTGCAGTGCCCTGGCAAAAGAGGGTGACCTTGGGAGAGCAGCGAGCATGTGTCGCGTAGGTCTCTGTGTCGGGGTGGGAGGTTTTGCAGGAAACAAACCTGCTGGAGGGAGTTCTGATGGTGGGGCTGGGCAAACACCTTCCAGCAAGAACTTAAAAGTGCAAACCGTTTAGCTTATCTAGAGGATTGACAAGTGATTTGATTGCAGTGTGTAAATATCTTTGTGGGAAAACATACTAGTTACTAACGGACCTTTTACTGCTTTGGAGAAAATTGCTGGTTCTTTTTATGTCCTTACAATGAAGTCAGATAAAATCCACTTAGAACCAAGACCCGTATTTTGTAAAGGTGATAAACTCCTGAAACAGCCCACATAGGAAAGCGGTGGCTTTTCAGAGTGCACAGACCGCAGAAGTCCTCATGGGAGGTATATCTGAACAAAGATGGGGCACTGGGCTACACACGGGGGGGCTGACTTAGCCCAGGTGATTTAGTGCATTTCTTCTGGCTTTAAGTTTTCTGAAATTTTTTTCGAGATACCGAACAAAGTTTTGTCCTTGGTTTGAGTATAACCAAGCCCTTGAAAGGAGATAATGGGGAGATTGGGAGGTGGCTGGGCTCCTAGGGGTTGAAGTCACCCTTACCTGGGATGAAGGACCCTTTGCGATGGACAAGGGTGGTGGCATTGCCCAGCCCCAGGGCTGTCTGGCAGATCCCAGGAGAGCCTTGCTGGGTTCCTGCTTGAGAAGGGTTTGTTTCCGTGCTAAGTCATCTGTGGTTGAAAAACAGATCCATTGTGAGTCGATGGAAAATAGATTATGCGAAATTGAATAAACATCATTTCTTGGCCAGGGTACAGATAAGCCTGCACCGCTGTGCCAAAGCTGCTGCCAGAGGGGACGAGGCAAGGCTTGTCAGGAGGGGGAGAGGGTCGTGTCTGCTCTTCTCCATGGCCTTTATCAGCCATGGTCCCTCCCCAGCAGCGCCAGGGCTTTGCCAAACCCAGTGGCCACTGGTGTGGTTGGAGAAGCATCTATGGGAAAGCCCAGGCGTGAGCGGCCGGGGTGGATGCATGGCCCCACTCTCACACCGCCTCTGCTGCTGTGGCACCTGGCTTTGGAAATGTGGCCTTATATGGGGCCCTGAGCGAAACAGCGGAAAAGGGGACGGGTGCCAAAAGCAGAGCGATAACATCTTAAAGAAGAACGCTCCCCCTTCAGGCCCAGGGAGGAAGGAGATGGGCTTCCCTGCCCTTGGTTTTGTTGGGTTTTTTTTAACTCAGTACCTTATAAAGTCATGTGTGTCCCTGGGGTGGTGCAGTGGCGAAGGATGCTCTGCGCAAGGATGTGTTTAGCACTGAGTGTCCTGGGGCTGTTTTGCAGCATCCCACCCTGTCCATAGGCTGCCGCAGCTCATGCCTGCATCTCCTGATCCAAGCAAATGAAGCATGTCTTTAAAGAGCAAAAGACTACGGCTTTATTCCTACTAAAAAAAAATCCCATCTACACAGAGGCTGAGAGGCTGGAGCAGCGCGGGCTCTGCAAGCTGCTCGCAGGATGGGATGCTTTGCACCATGCATCCCGTTGCCTTACTGAGCTGTCAGGTGAAGTGGGATTATGTGTCCTGCAGGGCCAGGGACGTGTCCTCCAGCTTATCCCAGGGCTGCGCTGGCAAGTCTGTCTGCAGTGACAGCACGCTCGGCCAAATGCAACCTCAAGGCATCCTCAAGCTGTGCATTAGCATAACTACTAGGAGAGCAATGATTTTAATTGCCTGACACCACAACTGTTTGGGGTAACTGGGAACAGTGGCACTGGTGATACTCTTGCATGCTTTTGGACTCCCGTCTTTCACTGGGAGGGTCCTGGGGGTTCTGCAAAGCTACACTCTCAGTCTCTCATCAGAGACAGTGAGATGCATTTTCCTAATTTTCCACCCTGATAAACACACACCCACACCACAAGCATCTCTGCATTCCCCGTGCCAGCAAAGCCACTTGCCTCTGTCATGATCACCTGCATTAAATACCATCCCTTTCCCTCTGAGTTTAGGCACTATGCTAGCTATAGCATATTGCAGCAGCCCTGTTTGAACCTATAGCCTCCAGAGCCAAGGCAGGGAGTGTCAGGGAGCTGGGCTTTTCTGCATGCTGGTAACAAAGACCTCATGTGCATCATGTCTCTCCTTTACGAGAAATGATGAGCAATACGCTCTGTTGCGAGCCAGTGGCTGTGATAGGAAGCCCACTGATAAGCAAGGTGTTTTTGGTGGAAAACCAAACTTGGGGCTGAAAAAAGAGGCATGTGAAATAATAAATATTTTTAAATTTGACCCATAATGCAGATGGCTTAGCGGAAACATGGGCCCATGAACCAGGTCAAAAGCTTGCTATAAGTCACCTCTGGTCAATGATGAGTTAAAGACTTTGCACAGCACTTCTCACAGGTTTAAAGGGGATGCTGCCAAGACAAAACAGCTCCTGGGTTCTCAGTGCTGTTGCTAGCATCTGAGTTTATTAAACATGAATTTTAAAACTGTGAGGAACCTGTCACCGTTTCCTATTTGCACTTCACTCTTCTTGGAAAGGGAGAGGAGACAGGCTTGTTTCTTAAAGCCAGACTGCTTAGTGTTTTATAGCCTTGGTCTCCCTTTCTGATTTTCCAGCACCAACTATGTTTAGGTTTCCAGCACTATGATGTTTAAAACTAAAACATACTGTTTTGCCTGAAACAATACTGGGTTTTGTAACTTTCTTTTTAAACAAATCTGAAATGCTTTTGGCACAGATGCCTTGCCAGCCTCCTTCTAAACAAACCCCGAGACAGGAATATACGTGTGTGCCTGCGAGAGGCACCATGAAAGCATCTGGGAATGGTGGGGCTTTTCTTCTCAGCCTTCTGTGCCTGAGCCCATCCTGCCTCCAAGCCCTCTAAGGGGGTGGATTAAGAGGAGAGGAAGGAAAACACCACGGATTTCAAATGGTGTGAGCCTGGGTTCACCCAGCACGGCTCCGAATGGGCACGGGCGGAGCAGTGTCTGTGCAACGTTCAGTGCTGGCCATGTGCTTTTTGCACAGCTGCTTGCAAGTCTGCTCCAGGGAAGCCACTCTGCTGCAAGGAGCAAATGTTGAGAGGGGGGGAAAAACCCAGGATCTGAGTTTTCTTTGCCTTCTTCCATCTTGCCAGCAAGCACCGGGGCTCCTCTGGCTTCGGCTCTGTGTGGGCAACGCGAGGCAGGGGCGAAGGGCAGGTGGGGGCTCAGCTGGCATCCCCACACCCTGCCACGCCGGTTTTTCTCCTCCATCTCTTGTTCTTTCTCAGTGGGCCGTGGCAGGGAATGGGCTCCTGGGGCTGGGCAGAGCTGCACAGCAGTCAAGAAAGAGGTTTTTTGGTTCCTGGTTCTTTTGAGGGGCAGGGGGGATCCTGGCAAGCGCTGCTCTTGGCACTGCTGCAGCTGTGGGGATGGTGGGGTGGCTGCTGGCTGTGCCACAGGGTTAGTCACAGCATGGATCCTGCTCTAACTTCTGCACATCAGTATGTGTCTGGGGCACAACAGTCATGCTGGGGCTGGGTTGCCCCCTCCCATGAAGGAGAAAAGGAAAAGCAGGTTTTTGCACTTGTAGGGCTCGGTCTGGACTCAACGCACAGTAATTCATGCAGCACAGGGCTTTGAATGCCAAACCCCAAAAAGACATTAAAAACCCCATCGCGTCTCCCCCCGCATTAATGATCCTCCCTTATCCCTGCTAATGAATATGACCCATTCTTCCACACCCTGGTTTTCCCCCCAGGACTATT